GAAGCTCACTGTTAAGGACCTGGGTTCAATCTCCAGGACTGGAGAGAAAGAGGAACGAGAAAGAGGAGGAGGGAGGGAGAGGAAAATCAATGAAACTGAAAGTTGGTTCATTGAAAAGATCAGTAAAATTGGTGAACATTTAATTAAACTGCCCAGAAAAAAGACACGAATCAAATTACTAAGCTTAAGAAAGAAAGAAGGGACATTTTACTCACCTTAAAGAAATCAAAAGGATTGTGGTAACAATTGTGTGCCAAGAAATTATATTAACCCAGATTAAATGTACAAATTTCTAGAAAATGCAAACCACTGTCACTGACTCAAGAAAAGACAGAAAATGTGAACTGACCTATAATAAGTAAATATTGAGTTCATAACCAGAAAACTTCCCCCAAACAAAAGCCCAGAACCAGATGGCTTCACGGACGAATTCTACCAAATGTTTAAAGATGAATTAACACAAATCCTCCACAAACTCATCCAAAAACCAGAAAAGGAAGGCGAACTTGCCAGCTGATTCTGAAGCCATTGCACTCATTCCAAACCAAAGACCCCACAAGAAAAACAGATGCAAGTCTGTATCCATATCTGTGTCTATACATCTCCTCATCTCGCCACTGTCCCCTATAGACACAAACCCCTCAACAAAACACTAACCAAGCCAAATCCAGCCGCATATAAAAATGTCTGTACGCCACGACCAAGGGGAAATAGCTCAAGAATGCAAGGTTGGTTAAGCATGTGTCGATCATAATACACTACAGTAACAGACAGAGGCCAGACGCATGGTCATCCAGCAGGCACAGAAGGCAAAGCCAGCTGCTGAGCACAAAACCCACCTCAGCCTCAGGAAAAGCCACTTCCACCCAAAGCCCATCAGCCTCCATGTGACCTAGCCACCGTCACCCCATCTGTCCTCACCTCCCGTTTTTTCTTTCTCTGCACACTTGCCCCACAGCCTCCTTACTGTTCCCCACATCCCCCAGATGCTTCTGACTCAGGGCTTTCTAGTTTCCTAGAAAACTATTTCCCCAGGCAGCACGTAACTCACACTTTCACCTTTGTATGCCTTCCTCCAGCCTCCTCTGAGGCTGGAGACCTGGTTCAATGGTAAAGAATTGCCTAGCATGTACAAGGCCCTGTGTCTGATCTCCAGCAATACAAAAATAACAGCAATAAAGATAAGGCAGGGCACAGTGATGCACACCTGTAATCCCAGCACTCAGGAGGCTGAGGCAGGAAGATCACTGTGAGTTCAAGGCCAGCCTGGCCTACATAGTAAGTCCATGGTCATCCTGAACTACTATTTATCAAGACCCTGTCTCAAAACCAGTAATAAGGATAGTCGTCATCATCACCACCATCACCTCCTCATGAGTACTCTCTGGCTATACTATAAAACCACAGTCCTCTCCCTCCTCACTCACACATTCCCTGTCTCCCTAACCCACTCTCCATTTCTCCTAAGCACTTCTTTTTTGAAATACTGTGAATTTTACTTACATATCTCGCTTGTCTATCTCCCAAAGTGGAAGTACGTTCCCTAAGGACAGAGATATTTTGGACTATTTAATTCATGGCTACATCTGCAGCATTAAAACTGACACACCACTGACTCAACTCTCAGTAAGTGGCTGGTGCATAATGAATGCATAAATGAATTCAAATAAGTTGTCATCTGACTTCATTCAACAAGCATCACTGACCTCCGCCCGCCCCGCTGTGCCTGACATGGTGCTGGGGGCCTGGGTGCTGAGAAAGGCAGGCTGGGAGGGGACTCAGCCCAATAACCCAGGGAGGTGACAGCACAGAGCAGTCGGGAGGGGCAGAGGACCAGGTCAGCAAGGGGGAGGCAGTGTCAAGCAGGCTCTTGAAGGCCCAGAATGATCAAGGCATCCGGCAAAGAGAGTGGGTTTGGGAAGTGGGAGGAGGGATGTGGGGCACGTCCAGGAGAAAGCCAGCATGGTGCCTGCGTGGGGGACTGCACAGAGAGAGGTCAGTCAGGTCATCAGGCTAGTTCAGGTTGTCAGGGGGTTCAACTGCCAGGACAGAGTCGGACCTAAATCCAGAGGCATTAGGGAGTCACGCAACATTTCTGAGCAAAGCGGGTCCTTGGCGTCAGAAAGCTCACCTTGACTGTGGGAGAGCAGGGTGCCACAGGCGGGCAGGAAGGCAAGAGACTGGAAGGTAGCTTCGGGACAGGCCTGGAGAAAGGCAAGGTGTGGACCGGGCAGGGTGGAGGGATGGGCAGGAGAGAGCGGGTGAATGACGGCTGGGTGGGGAGGAAGCGCAGCCTGGATCTCAAGTCAGAACATCCAAGGGCATCACAGAGGTACAGAGCCAAGGTGAGGGCTGGCTGTGGGCTCAGCCCTGCTGGGCACCCACAGGCAGCACCTTCCTGGTGCTGGGTGCTGGGTGCCTCCTGGGCTCCCGCCTCATCTCCTACATCTCAGACCCCAACAGGGGCAGGCCCAGAAAGGAGTTTCTCCAGCTGGCTTCGGTGGCCAAGACCCAATGTCATCTCTAGATTTGAAGATGTGCCAGACGGCAGGGTGGGGGACAGCTGTGTCCCCGAAACACAGCCAAACAGCGGCCTCCCAGAGCCAGCAAAGACAGTGGCAGAAGTAGGGCCAGCAGGGGGTCTGTGCCCCAGCTGGCGGGTGGGGGTGGCCGGCTTTTGATGGGCCCTCCATCTGCCTGGGCCTCAGTCTCTTGGTGAGATGGCCCTGCCTGCCTCCAACACTCCTACCAGCCAGAAAATACAGGCCCAGTCACTCACCCACCTGGTCAGTGAACATAAAGGCATTTGTTAGTGGCACATGTGGTGGGCCATGCCCCACTCAGGTGACACGTGTCAGTGCTGTGTGAAGGACACAGACTGGGTGTCCTTGGGGCTAGGCAGAAGTTTGCCTGTCCCACTGCTTGTCTGCTGCTTTCTGTGGGACTCAGTTCTCCAATCTGACAAGTGGGAGAAGCAACAGCCTTCCCATGACCTTGGTCACGAGAACTGAGTAACAGCACCTGCAGAAGCAACTCCTGACAGGCCTCTCCTATCTCCGGGATACTCAGCCGGAGCCGAGGCTGAAGACGGTGTGAGGAAGGGGTCTCAGCTCACCCACAGGAGGCTCCACAGTAGAAGGAGGCATTTATTTTTTTATTTTTGAGACAGAACCTCGCTAAATCACTAAGTTTCCCAGGCCGGCCACGAACCTCAGCCTCCCAGCACATTAGGATTATAGGAATGTACCACCATACCCAGCAAAGAAGCCCTTCCTCAAACTGAGGGGCTTCAAGTCATCCCCTTCCTCAGAAAACATACTGTTCTCAGGAAGGAAACAGACCTTTCTCCTGGGGTCACATGAGGAACACCATCACTGCTGTGCACCCCAACATTGGTCACGTGACATTTGGGGCTCTGGGGTGCATGGGCCTGGGAGGGATAGTACTGCGGGATGCCAGAAGGGGCGATCTGCAGGGGTGGGGTGAGGGCATGGCTGCCCTTCCTAAGCCTATCCCAGGGGCAAATGTAAAGGGAGACACAGTGGTCATCAGAAGGAGCACCTCCTGACTTCCCACAAGAGGCAAAAGCACCCAGCTAAGAAGAACTTCAGGGATTCCACAGCCGGGCTAGAGGCCCCAGGACACACCAGTGTCCCCAAAATCAGTGTCAGGCCATAGAGGGCACTGGCAGTCAGCAAAACGACTAGAGCCAGGGAAAGCTCAGCCACTTCCAGCTGCTTCCCCTAACTAGCCAGCTCTCAGGGGTCAGGATCACACTGGACCGGGAGTCTTGTGGTTTCAGCAACAAGGCACGGAGGATGGAACGAGGAGCCTGGAGCAGACAGCAATGCACCCTCTTCCCACAGTGGTCTGCGGTGCCTGAGTGGCAGCTTTATTAGAACTAGAGCGGGGGGCTGGGGATTTAGCTCAGTGGCATAAGCGCCTGCCTTGCAAGCAGGCAGTCCTGAGTTTGATCCCTGGTACCGATAAAAAGGAAAAAGACAAAAAAAAAAAAAGAACTAGTCAAACTTGTGATTTAAATGAGGCCAGACTTTTTAGTCCACAGGCACGACCAGCAAAGCACTGAGACCTGGTCGTGGGTGGGAGACCCACTGAACTGGTGGGAGGGCGATAAAGTCAGTGTCAATTTGCAGTCCAAGTCCAGTACCCTCTGGGAACCTTGGCCCAGCCCACAGAGGTGGAGACCCCCACTCAGGGGCAGAGCCCAGGCTATGGGACTGGAGGAAGGCAGGGAGTTCCCACCTGCCTGGCTGCAGCTCAGCTTCCCAGAAGCAATGGCCTCTTCCCATCTCGGGGAACAGGCAGGGCTGGGATTGTGGGGAGCCAGGGACACTGCTACACACACGGAGACTCAGGATCTGGCCCCTGTCTTTTGGGCCCTTTCTCCAGAAGCAGCCTCACACACCCAGGTGGGTTCTGTATGGAGTCCAAACTCAGGCCGAGCTCAGGGCAGTGTGCAGAGGTCTGTGGAGATAGCCACTGAGGTGGGTCTTACAGAAAGAGAAGGATTTGAGGGTGCACAGAAGAGGGGATCAGATCCCAGGAAAGGCTGGAAGGTCCTAGTGCCCATGTCCCGGGACACTCAGCATGTGAGCTGCATGGAGGAATGGGACGGGAGAGGGGTTTGGGAAACCTGCTGCTAGGGCAGTGGTCACCCTTGGAGTATGGGCTGCACTCCCCTCACCCATACCCTGGGTTCATGAAATGTTCTGGGAAAAGATGCACCCCATTATCTTAAATGAGAGCCTTAACCAGGAGCTCAGAGGATGTACTATACTACCAGAAAAGCTTAGGTTCAAACTCCAGGTCTGTCCCTTTCTAGATGCACAGCTCTAGTTAAGCCTCCATTTACTCATCTGTTAAATGGGGATAACAAGTCCCCAGAAGGCGTGATCACCATACTGGACACACAGACCTGACACAGTGTGCACCTGTATCAACAGGGTCCCCCACCTACCTCCAAAGGGGCCCTCACTTACATAAGAGGCCACGAGGGTGGTCGGGGCCAGGACAAGAGCCAGGTATAGGCAAGGAGCTGTGGCCAGCAGGCTGGAAGCACAGATGAGGGGTTCAGCCCGGGGGTTGACTTTCTTGTACCTCCGGGCAGCTTCTGCTCCCAGGATGACACCAATAATGCCAGTCACAACCGTCACGGCCCCAAAAATCAAGCTGATGGGAGAGAGCAGAGGGGCTTGGTCAATCCTTCCTCCAGTCTCTAATCCCAGGTCATGGACACAGCCCTGGAGTGTAACCCGGTACCCACAGATTATGTGGCTGTGGTCCCCTAACTGGACCTCACCCCAGTCAACACTGCTGGAACCTCAGGAACCTGACCAGAGACCCACATACTCCCCTGCCCCCATCCCCTTTCCTGCCCCACTCTGGAGATGCCACTGGACATGGGGGTGACCACCCTGCACCCCCGTACTCCACGTCCCAGCCTACCTCATCTCTAGTGACCATTCTCTACCCGCTTCCCTTCCAAAATGGCCCCCCTTGGAAATATGAATAATTTCTAGGGTCACACTCTGGCCCCAAACTTTTCCTTTAAGAGGAACAGAAGCCAGTGAACAATTGTGTACTGAGCTCTAATGACACACCCAGTCCTTGTCTGGTTTTGTGTGCGTCTCTCCTGGAATCCTGTCCTTCTGCTCCCAAATAGCCCCTCCTGATGGCACCACCTTTCGCAGCTCATGGGCACAGCTGAGATCACAGCAGTGTGAGCTCTTGGAAACCAAAGAGAACCAGGATCTCCCCTGCTTCTCTGTGGCTCCCTGCTGTCTTATGCACAACTTCCAGGTCAGCACTCATGGCCCCAGGGGACTGGGCCCTGCTGACCTGCTCGGCTGCCCTGCTCCACTCCCCCCAGCCCTGCACAAACAACAAGAATTCTCCAAAGCCATTCATCTGCCACATGCACACCTGGAGCCTTCTCCTCCTGGCCACATCCCCCCCAAGCAAGGCCAGAACTGGTCGGGATGCCGAGGCCCTGCTGTTACTCCAAATTTCCCACCAGGACATAAAAATGTGATTGGTGCAAGGTGTGACCAACAAACCGAGTGCCACAAAAACCATCTCCCTAAAAAACAAGCAAACAAACAAAAAAGCACATCTCCCTTGGCTCTAAGCATCTTCTGTGAAATGTCCAACCCACAGGCTGACAACCGATGGATTCATGCCCTATTCCATCCCTTCTGTGTAAAGAAGAGAGGGTAGAGCCCAGAGACTGCCAGAACTTGCCTGAGGTCACAAAGCCCATGGCGGGCAGGGACAGAGCCTCCCACTAGATAGGAAATGTGTGTATTTTGACAACATAAAAGTCCTCACTAACCCTTCCCAGTCTTCCAAGCCCTGCAAGCCTCCAGCTCAGCCATTGCAAAGGACCCCAACTGGAGAGGAACAGGTGATGTCAGTCACCTTTGAGTCCTGGTCTGAGCTGGCCTTGGCAGGTTCTCCAAACCTTTGTGAGACTCAGGGCAACATGGCCAGTGCCCCCACCCATGACCCCTGAGCAGGAGGCAAGACCAGAGGTCAAGCCCCAGCCACCAAGCCCTGTGAGCTGCTTTCCCCTATTGCCATGGCCTACCCAGATCACACCCTCAGAGGAAAGAGGGCCCTTGAGGGCCTATACATTCGGTATTGTTCCCCTACACAGCGGCCCTGGTAAATAACTCTCCCAGCTCCACTCACACATCCTCAGGAATGGGAATCTCACCACCTCCCATGCAGCCCCTTCTGCTGGGCCACTTTTGTTCTGAGAGTTGGAAGCCCAGATCCTGTGTCCTACAGCTTCCTGCCTTGGCCTTGCCTATCCCCTGAGTCTGTCCTAACCATGAAAGGGGTATCAGGTCAGTGCAGAATTCCAGCTTGAAGTCCTTCTGCCACTCTGTGAATGAAGGCATCCCAAGACGTCCTAATCTCAAAGATTTTCTATGGAAAAAGATGTGATTGCAATCACACCTGTGCTCTTTAGAGGGCAGCAGAGACTTGAGCCAGAAAAGGGAAAGGTTTTGTGACCGGGGAGGAAGAGATTGGAGTGATGTGGCCACAAGCCATGGAGTGCCTGCAGCCACCAGTAATCCGAAGAGATGAGGAACCAATTCTTCCACAAAGCTTCCAGGAATGTGACCTCACTGACACCTTGATTCAGTTCCACTAAAACCTCCAAACTTATGAGGAAAAAAAACATTTCTGTTGGTTTAAACTATCAGTACATCAGACAGGAGAAACTAAACTCATCCCTTTCAGTTCGTCACATTGATCTGTGCAGGAGCTGAGTGGGAGACTGAGAAAACAAAGAGACTGGACCAAGAATGCACAGTCCATTGATACCGGAAGTGGAGCTGAGTTCTGTTTCCTCTCCATTTTTCCAGGGTTTCTAGGACTCAGTGCACTGTTGCCTCAAGAGAGAGGACCATTCAGTTGCAGAGCTAATCACACATTTCAGTCTCACTTCATACATTTATTTGCACTCCATGCATTCACTCACAAGCTTTCCCTGAGCACCTACTATGTGCCAGCAAGCCCCTGCAGCTGGTGGGGCAGTGTTTAGGTCAATGAACATCAGCAGGCGTCTCCAGAGGCAACAGGGCCCAGGGCTTGTGAACAGCAGCTTTGAAGCCACAGGCTTGAATCGTAGCTCCCTCACTCATCAGCTGCATGAGCAGGGACAGGTCATGTGACTGCTGTGATCTTTAATCTGCTCCTTTGTAACACAGGGATAACAGGAAAGCCTTCCTCTGAGGGATCTTCGGGTGAAACGCAGGGTATGAGTCCCGAACCAGGGTGGAAGTTAAGCGAGGATAAGGAAGTGAAGGAGGTAGGGGCAGAGAACTCAGCTGGAGCAAAGGCACAGCGAGGGAGAAGCCCTGGGCATCCTGGAAACTGCACAACGCCCTCTCCAGGTGTCAGGGAGGGAGGCGGAGTCAAACACATCCAAGAAAGTCCTGGGCCGGAGCCACGGTCTGCAGGCTGAAAACGGGACCTCTCAGAAGGCATCGGGAGCTCCTCCAAAGGACAAAGGGCAGATACCTGAGACTCCTATCACCTACCAGTGAAGGCCTCCTTCCCCAGCACTGTGCTCCAGACCCCACCACAGATCCTACAGAGAAAACACTGGAGTTTCACCCAGAGAGGAAGAGAGAACTGCCTGTGGTCGGTCACAGAGTGCGGGGGTCCGGCCAGAGTGAGAGCCCAGGCCTCCTGCCTGCCAGCTGAGTCCCCAGCCCTGCGGTCATCACACCACCACATGCCCAGAAAGACAAAGTCTGACCCCCAGCACCTCCTGAGAACGTGTGCCCAGAGCTCACTGCCTCCCCACCTGTCCCAGCTGTCACACGGTTCCTGGAAGCAGGGCAGCTGCAGTCCATGTACCACACGGGCCTCAAACAGAAACTTGGGGGCCCAGAAGCCCAGTGCTCCTGTCACAAAAGCCATAGCTGTCACTCCGAGGGTTGACCACACAAAGCTCCAGCTGCAAGAGAGAAAGCACTGGCTGAAGCCCACAGCCTCCCTGACATCCCCGAGACATCACCCACAGCCCAGACCTCCTGCCCAGTTCACCATGCCTCCCCCACCTTGAAGAATCACATCTCCCCCATCCAGGAGGCTCCAACCCCAAATCATGTTCTCTGAGCTGTTTCTGCCTGTCCCCTAAACTTGGCTCTGGGACAAACAGAGATAGGTATTGTCATGCACCACATTGCAGGGACTCTGAGGCAGGGGACTGCAGGGACTGCTTCTGCCTGGCTCTCCAGCATGCCTGGGACAGAGGCCAGCGCTCTCCAGGGAAGCTCGGACAGGTGAGTACTGAGCTCCCAGCATCCTCCCATCAGTCCAGAGAGGCAGGCAAGATGGGTAAAGTGTCCCCCAGGGGGAAGAGGAAAGCAGGGTTCCCAGTCTCGGGCCACTCGGGGCAGTGGCAGAGGCAGGGCTGGAGGTCCACACCACATGCCCCAATCACTTCTGTCACATGGGAACCCAGGTGGCAGGAGGCATCTCAGCAGCTCAGGGGAGCCCAGGGAAGGAGGAGGGATGTGAACATGGAAAACCCAGCGAAGGATTCCGGGAAGGGCGCTGGAGCAAGTGGGGTTCTCCGGGGCTCGTAGCAGGCAGCAGGGACACTCACTTTCTCCCCAGATATCTGACGTCCTCACACCAGCTGCTCCTCAGGGCCTGCACGGCCACCTCCCCTTGCTTCTCTGCAGCTCCTCGGGGTGGGTCTGGGACCAACAGGATGAGCAGGATCAAGGCCACGGCCTCCAAGCAGGGCATCATCTGGGGACGAGAGGGCTCAAGGTCATGCGTGGCCGTGGCCTGAGGGACCGAGGAGACCAGTCAGTGTCTGGACTCTGTCCCCAGGCCCTGGGTCCTAGGTGCTGCTTATGTTTAGAGCTGGACACAGTGCTATTCCTTGTACCTTTACCCCTGCTGGTGCAGCCTTGCGCGGAGTGGGGAGTCCTCATCCAGTAGAGATGCTACTCTGCTGAGACTGGTGGATGGGGATGGCTGAAGACGGGAATCCCGGCCACTGTGTTCTCACTGCCCCAAGCACTAGCCTGCCTCCTCCATCTGCCACACCAAGCCTCCCCTAGCATCCCACCTGGCTGCTCCCCCCAACCATATTCCAAGAATGGGGATCTCTTTATCTGCCTTGGGACAGCCTTGGAGTAGCTGGGACCATGAGAAAGCTCTCAGGCAAGCTAAGTCAGAGTAATCTTTTTTGTTGTTGTTGAGGCAGCGTCCCAGGCTGGCCTCAAACTCAGTGATCCTCCTGCCTCACCCTCCTGAGTCCTGGGATTACAAGTGAGCACCATCACAGCCAACCAGTATGACATCCCAGAAGCCCAGCCCACCTCAGGGTCCTGATCCTGCCTCTGGCGTCTCACCCACCAGCTCCCTCAGCTCAGCAGGGGTCTGTACAAGGACAGAACACCAGCCCCCTCTGTACCAAGTTCCTTCCTCTCCTTAGTGGCCCAACACCCCGGTCCAAGACTGAGCTGATGGCGCTGCAGCCTAGCAGGTACCTGCCCAGGGTCTTGGCTCCACCGCACAGCCCCCTCCAGCCCCAAGGAGCCTGCTGGTGTAGGAATTTTCCAGTCCTCAACTGAGTCATCTCCAGGCTACCACCCCCACCTCACAGATAGGCAAACCCACTCCACAGGGGGTTGCAACTCACTTGAGGTCACACAGCTCACAAACTCTACAGCTGAGATTTGAACCTAAGGTCACTACTTCTAGAGGCTGTGCGCCCTCTGAGGCCCCAAATGCCCGAAGCTACAGACAGCTGACACCCCCATGGCGCCGGGTACCGGGCCAAGGGGCTAAGGCCACTGGATGCTGGAAAGTCCCTGCTGGCCCAGGGGGAGAGCAGAGAGAAGGAAAGGAAGCCAGACTCACGCGGAGGGCCCAACGCCAGCTCCCCGTCAGCTTGGTCACGGCCGATCCCAGTACATAGCCCAGACCACTGTCATAGAGAGGCAAGGAAGGTCAGCAGCATGGCAAGGGGGCCTGGCAGGGATCCAGTTTTCTGCAGGACCTTTCCCTGAGGAAAACTGTCCCCATGAGGCCCAGATGTCCACTGCCCTTGGTCAGCTCCACTGACCTCTGGCTTCTGACCACCACAGTGCCACTGTCTCCCTAGATGAAGACAAACACACCCCACCAACAGCCCCACCCCTTATGCCCAAAGTTCAGCCCTGTTTGGGTCAGGCCAGGTCAGGAAACCTGGGTGAGAGCTCAGGAGCCTGACCGTAAACCCCTCTCCGTCCTTCCTGCTGGGTGTGCAGGGCACAGCCTGACACACTTCCTGCCTGGCCTCCAAGCTCCGGGAGGAGCTGGCCACACAGCCTTTCCTCACCACACCACCACCCCCCCAGGAGCGGGAGCACACTAACCTGGGTGCTGTCATCCATACCACACCCCATCCTGGGGCCCTACTGTACCCACTGACAGCTGAGTAAAGGATGACATGGGAGGAGAGGAGGTGCTGGGATTCAGATCCTAGACTTCCTGGCTTAGTATCTCCCACCCCAGCCCAGTTTACTGGACACGTGGATCCCGAGTGAGACACCAACCTTCCGACAGGAATGAAGATGTAGAAGATAGCCAGCACGACTGTCCGCTGACCCTTCACAAAGAGGTCAGCCAGGACCGTGGGCGCAATAGTGGAGTAGCTGGCAGTGCCGGTACCCACAGCTCCCCGGGACAGGAAGAAGAGCCACGGGTACTGTGCAAAACAGGCACAAGACCACAGTGAATTCCAGGAATCACCCATGGAGAAAGAAACTCAATATATCAGAGACGTGAAAAGGATTTCTGCCCTTAGGCTCCTGGGAGAGGGGAGGGGACCAGGGCTACAGATACTTGCACCCCAGATGTCCACCCCCATCCTAGATTCTCAGAATCGCATAGGTGACTGGCCCCTGATGATGCCACCGCCTGCTCCACACCCAGAGGAGCCCTTTTTCCCAGGCCTCTTGTCTGACTAGGCCAGTTCCTCAAGGCAGGAACTGTTACCCCAGCCCTCGCCCACTCCCAGCAGAGCCAGGAGGGACTCAAGGGCAACCACGGGCATGCAAGAGAGGAAACCTCCAGTAAGGAAAGTTTCATGGGCAGAACTGGGGACTCAGGCATCCAGCTGCACCCACCTTCTCGGCAGTACAATCTCTGCGTCAGCCTGGGCCAGAAAAAGGGCAGAACCATCCCCATCTGCTATGAGGGTACAGAGCAGGGAGAAGCCCAGGTGCCGGTCGGGATGTGGGCACCTACCTGTGGGGAGATGAAGGAGCTGGAGAGGCCCGCCCCGGACCACAGCAGAATGCCGAAGCTCAGCGTGGCCTTACGGCTGTGGCGGTCGCCCAGGTAGCCAAACACAGGTGCAGACAGCAGCAGGCAGCCAATGAAGACTAGAGGAGACACAAGGGGCAACCTGGATCCCCCCATGATGATGGGCAGGCAAATAGCCCTGAAAACCCGGGAAAGGGAACTGGCTTAGATGTCACAAAGTGGCATCTTGGCAGTTTGTGGAAGCATGAGGAATAAAGATAAAGTGAATGTCACAATCCTCCACCAACAGGCAACTCCTAGCGCAGCGCCATCTGGCCGGGCTCACTTTGTGGCCTCTCTGAGCATCACCCAACCCAGGAGAGGTCGATGCCTTCTCCTAGGCTGTGCAAAGGGGAGCTGAGAAGTGAATGGAGAGGCGCAAGAGCCCAGCACAGGAATGGACTCACGTGCCTGCAGCTGACAGGAGGCAGGGAGCCGGCCTGGGGCCTGAGAGCTCCAGGAGAGGAGGGCAGCTTGGAAAGGACACACTGACAGCAAACCGGAAATGATCCCAGCAGGCTGGGAGGGGCTCGGTGGTTGCAGGTAGGCACCTTATTCCCCAGACACTGCCAGTCGCGTCTAAACCATTTTTTAAGATAAACTATTACTAATGTCGGCGACTGGATTATGAATGTTTGCTAGTCCGCGAGGACAGGGAAACCGGGTACATGCACACGGATACGTGCGCACATGACTTCCGTGCTTCCCAGAAACGCTCCTCTACCCAGGGGACATGATGAGTCACTGCCTCCGGGCCGGGGAGCCACAGGTGGAGAAGGTCAAGTCGGGACCCTCCTCTCCGTCCCAGGGCCGCGGGCTTTGGGAAGTCCCGCCCAGCACCCAATCTCCAGTCTCCAGGGAGATGATTGACATTTCCTCAGCCCAATGAACATCCAGATTCTTCCCAGCTCAGGTTCCAGTCCACCCCCTCCTGGACCGCTGTGCTGCTGGTTTAAGCCATATGCAATTGTGGAAATTAGGCCGGTTCTGACCTATAAAGCCAGCAATTTAATATGGCTTAACCTACTGTTCCACAGAGGGTGATCTTCGGTGTGAATGGCATTTAAGATTTTAATAGCTACTGCCAAAACAGGGCCCCAGGGAGGCTGTATCAATTTACACACGACAGAATTTTATGCCAGCACCCTGATAATTGATATGACCAGTCATCTTATTTTTAATGAAATCTAATGAAAAACAAACGGTATCTCGCTGATTTTTTAATCAGCATCGTCCTTACTCGCGGTGAGGTGGAGCAGCAGGTCCTATATCGGTACCCTTTGCCCATTTCTCTACTGAGCTGTTTGCTCTCAGGAAAAATTTCTCAGTCGTTCCCCTCCCCCATCCACGGTCCTGGGACTTAACTCTAGGGCCTCTGCACTAAACTACGTCCCCAACCTATCAATTTATTCATTCATTCATTCATCTTTAAATATCTAGACTGCACATGGTGGCTCATGCCTACCGTCACACAAGCCATGAGTCTGAGACCAACCTGGGCAATTTAACAAGACACTGCTCGTAAAAAATAAATAGCAAAAAATCAAGTTTCAGGATTAGACCATTTGAGTTCAAATTCTGGCCCACCCCTTTTTATCTTTTGTGATCTTAGCAAATCCCTTAACTCCTCTGTTCCCCCTCATCAACTGCACAATAATATTTCCATCACAAGGTTTATTAGAGGAGCAGATAAAATATGTCAAACATATCTGAATAGCTGCATGTCAATCCCAATAAGTGGTATCTACTATTAGTACTACTCCCATAGCTTTAATGATATCTTCATACAAAAAGTTTCCATTATTATGTAGAGAAATTTCTCAGCCTTTTTCTGGTGGGGAGGATTGTTCCAAGTCTTATTTATATATAAAACTTTACCAAAAGTTTATAAAAATATTTTCCCAATTTTTTTCAATTTTCCCGGTGTTTTAGGCAGGGATCATTTGTAGGACCTAACTGCCTTAAATCTGCAGGTGGACTGTCATATGCAGGCATAAATCTCTAGGGGAAGACAGGTATTCCTCACTGGAATCTCCAGACTCAAACCATTTTTGTGACAGGAGAAAGAAATTAATGATCATACTGTTAGGAAATAGACTCTACTTGCAGGCTTCCAGGATTTGAATCCCAGCTTCAGCAAGACTCATAACCTCATAACCCTTGAACCTCAGTTTGATCATCTGTAAAATGGGCATCCTTATCCCACTAATACCTGCCTTTGGGGTTGTGATGAAAATTAAATGGGTTTCTATTTGAAGCACTTAGAATAATGCCTGGAATGTGTTAAAGGTCAAGCCAGTGCTAGTTTGTTTTTGTTTTTTTGTTTTGTTTTGTTTACAGTATTCGAGATTGAACCTAGGGTGTTAGCACTGAAATACACTCCCTACTCTTCTTCTACACTTCATTTTGTGTCAGGGTCTCACTGAGTTACCCAGGCCAGGCTTGAATTTGTAGAATGCTGGGCTAGCAGAGTCCTGGCTTAGCTGTAAGATTCCTAGTTAACTCCAGTAGTTTCTCTGTCCCATGGGCTGTGGGAGGGTCTGAGCACTGCCTCACCTCCTCCCACACCCCTGGCGGGCCCCACCAAGCTTGCTATCTTCAGCAGCTTCCATCTATCTGCTGTTGTGTGGTCAGATAGAAATGTGGGTCTGAGGGTCACTGCACAATGGCCCTCAAGGGGAAGAGACTTACCTGAGGCCACTGCAAACCAGCCCCGTCACCAGGCCTGTGCTCAGTGCCCTTTCCACGTAGCTACCTGTGCTGCTCCTGCAAAGACGGCTCTTACCCCCGTGTAACATGCACACTCACATGCACGCACAGGAACACGCACACACACCTTCTCCCTCGGTGGCACCTCCTTGTCAGCGGCCTGCAGAAACAGTCCTGATCCCCACAGTGAAAACCAGCAGGGGGAAACATTGAATCAATTATCAACATGAGTATCACTATCTGTTGAAACACAGAAATTACTTCCTAAATTTATTAAGGGCGAACAACAGCTCAGCAGGAAAACAGGCAAAGTAGAAAAACCGGCAAACGACTGCTGTCATCTTTTGAATCAAGAGGTTTGCGGGTTTCGAGCCAGGATGGGCTCGGTCTGGTAACACGTGAGTTGGTGCAGCCCTGCCTGCCAGCCCTGAGAGTACGGGCAGTGGGAAAAGATCCCCGCACTGCAGGGTGGTCCCACATGATTCAGAGAAGTTTACAGAGCTACACACTTCTTCACATGCCTTCAGTGACATTTAAACAGTCCTCACTGAAAGTCTAAGTAGTTGCAAAGAATGCAATTTCCAGCATTTTTGTTTATAGCCGGGCCCCACATCCTCTCATTCTACCAACTGCAGATCAAAAATAATTGGAAGAAAAACTATCTCTATACTGAACATGTGCAGATTTTTTTCCCTTGGCCGTAATTCCCTAGGTAATTAAATATAACAATTTACATTGTATCAACTTATACTGAATAATGTTCACATTTTATCAGCTATTATAAGTAACCTAGACATGATTTAAACATTACAGAAAAATGTGTAGGTTCTGTGCAAATATCACGCCCTTTATATAAGGGACTTGAGCATCTGTGGGCTTTTGTTTCCACAAAGGTACTAGGACCCATCCCCTGTGGGCACTGAGGGGCAATATTTTCACCCAAGCCCTCAGAGGTATGGATCCAGGTTTGTCAACTTCTGGAATCCTTGCTATCGAGTCCAAGTGGTAAAGCCTGCCCTCTTTTGACAAACCAATCTGACAAATCCGGCTGCGAAAAATGTTGGTTTCATGTTTAATACCGAAATAAATGTGCTGACATCCATCCTTGTGACCGCTATCTCACTTTTGAGTTCTACTTCGTAGATAAATAGCAGACAGTCACGCATGCACAGAGACAGCTGAAGAGATAAGGCCCGGAGGGAAGGCCACCAGCACCCCTCTGCTGAGCGCTCAGCTCCGCCCTGCTCTCAGCAGAAGCTGTGTCTCCCCTTCCTCTGTGGGCAGCCACAGCGGTGCGGCCAGGCTGAGTCACCTGTCTGCCTCTGATGGAGTCAGCAGGTTGTGAGAAAAGAGACCCCAGGGCTGGCATGGGCCTGTTCTCAGGAAACAGACCTACAGGCTTACTGATTCGGAGTGGGTCTCTCACAACTGTATTCGTGTTGGCTCTGAAATTCTTTGCATGGCCCTTGAGGGGCCTGCACCCAGTTTGAGAGCCCTGTCGTAAGGTGTCGAGATAGAGGGTGGTGAGGAGAGAGCAATGCAAAGCAAGAACCTGCCTCAAAAATAAGTAAATGAATGAATAAATAAAAAGACTTTTAAAAAGGAACTGCCAGGCGTGGTGGTGCACACCTGTAATCCCAGCACTCAGGAGGTTGAGGCAAGAGGATTGCCTCAAGTTCGAGGCCAGCCTGGGCTACATAGTGGGTTCAAGGCCAGCTTGGACCCTGTCTCAACAAGACAATAAAAAAAAAGCAAAAACAGAAAAAAAGAAGGAGCAGAGATGGAGTTGCTTGGGGATGGGGCCACAGTGTACGCTGCTGGTTAGGGGATGGACCCACAGGTGTCCTGTATTGTGACTCTGTGCACACATGTATATGTATACATGTGGGTAGGTGTCACCATCACGTTAGCCTGTGCTCCATGACTCTATTGTCCCCACTTTGGAATGGGACCGGTGGCTGCTCCCTGCTGCTGGACTTAGATTCCCCTGGTCCAGAGGCCTTCTAAACACAGGTGGCTCTCAGCCTGACTGTTGGTTCTGAGTTCTCACAATTTTCAGCTTTGGGAAGGGAAAGCTGTCATGGCTGATACATTGTGTCAGCTTGAGAAGTTCAGAAGTTTCACAGAGAGACTCAGCAGGGAGCCAAGGTCCCTACTTTGTAAATACCCTCATCCTGGGCAAAGGAGGGCAAGGAGATTTTGTGAGTGCTACACCGCTCTGAAGAGGGGTAGGGTGGCCTGTGAACACTAGAAGGGAGAAAAGGAGGTTTGTTCTTCTCTCCCTTTTGCTCTGGCTGCTGCCTTGAAGTGTTGCCCCCGTGCCATGCCACCCTGCCTTGGAGCCAACTGATTATGGACTGAAACCTCCAAAATCTATAAGCTAAATAAAATGTTCCTTCCTTAATTTTGAGTGTTGCGTATTTTGTCCCAGCAACAAGAGAAAAGTAACCAAGACGAAAACCCACATCAAGATTCCTCAAACCACTGGGCATGATGGTGCATGTCTTTAATCTCAGCACTTGGGAGGCAGAAGCAGAAAGATTGCTGCAAATTTGGGCCATCCTGGGCTACAAAATGAGTTCAAGGCCAGCCTGAACTGCATAGGGAGGCCATCTCAAAAAGACAGGAAAAAGAAACGAAAAGAAGGAGAGAGAGACAGAGATTCCTCAAACTTCGGTAAGTGAGCTCGCAAACTTGCAGGGAATGGCAGCCCCACAGCAGTGACCCCGTGCTCCCCCTGCAGACCCAACTCTGAGCTACAGGAGCTGCTCAAATCCTGGGCTTCGCCTCTCACTCTCTCCCACTGTGCTTCTTCAAGCTTGGCCTCCACCATTCCTCTATGTGGGAGGCTCGGTGGGGCTGAGCTGGGCACCAGAACTCTGAGAGACCCCACCCCAGTGTGTGCCTCGGCCTCAGGCTCCGCAACAGAGGCTTGCTCCTTACCTGTCTGAAGCAAACCAGCATGGCTGTCACTGATGTGAAAGACCTTCTGTATGTCCAGCAGCACTCCTAAGGACAGGGGGACATCGTTATGGAAATGAGCAGCTTCCTCCGAGTTTGGGGCAAGGCCGCAGATGGTCACC